TTGTTTTGGGGCAAAAGTCAACTCCCCCACAAACAAACAAAATTTATCTCATCAATTACAAGGCATCTTCGCCCAAATTTGGCAAAAAAAAAAAGTCAGTGTCAAAATTTGACAGGTGCACTGAAATGACCTCGGGGAATAAACAATGCATCCATTATTGGTGATGTAATACCAAAATTCCAAGGAATTACGTTTTCTGACACTAGAGTTGAAAAACAAACAGTGCCAGATTAACATAAGCACACAGTTGGTGGCCATAAAAAAAATTTGGTCCCCTCCCCAAAAAAAAAAAAAAAGAAATTTGAAAAAAGGCTATTCTGAGAAATATGGGAAACAATATTTTTTAACAGTTATACAGTGTGGGGTTTGAATCAAGAGCCTTTCCCGTTACAGTTTGTTACCCCCCCCTTTCCCCAATAAGGGGATAATACTATGCAATGGCCTGTTTTCAAGACTTTAAAAATAGAGCAAATTTGCAGTTTAAGGTGTTTTCTACATTCATACCCAAAAATTTATAAAGGGTTATTTTTTAGTTCTGAAGCATTTTGGCTGTAGACCTTGTTTTGATGAATTGGGAATTAGGGTATTTTCTAGTTCCTCCACCTGGGGAGGGTTGTGTTTGGGTTTTTGTACAGTGTGACCCATTTTGGAGATGCTAGCCTCCCCTTCCTTCGGAGATGGTGCTTTAAAATACTTCTTAAAGGAACCAGTAATGGCATTGAGGAGGGCAAAGCAAATAGGAATGGGTAGCGAGTACTCTTTCACCTCATGCTCGACCTCGAGGGTTTTTGTGCAGGTGACGGCCCGCTGCCTTGGGGTTTTCTCCGACGGAACCGTCTGCTCTCCTGTGGGGAAATTACTGGTTAAATAAAAAAGAAATTAAGTACAGAATGTATGCACTAAAACTAAAACAATATGTACAACTGTATATCTGTTTTCATGGAAGTTATAAACCTGTAGGGGTTTATACGTTTTGGGAATGGGGGGTAATCAGGTTTAATCTGAGGGAGAAAAAAGGTATCCTGATTCCTTGGGGGCAAATTAAACACCATCATTAAAATTAAAAAACTGAATAGCACCCCAAACAAAAAAACTGTTTGCAAATGCAATAAATTCCTTGGAACAATTTTAATCTCCAAGGACCTGGGCACAGACCCGGGGGGTGGGGGGATTGACCCCCCAAAACCTTCTCCAGGTATACTCCCATTTCCTAGCTGTAAATGCTTTTGGTTATGCATTCCCAGGGAAAATTCTTTTTTTCCCCCCTTGACTGTCGCAAACCCCAATCCGAGGTGTCTCCGGGATGCAAATTTAAAAAAAAAAAAAAAATTCTTTTGAAATGAAGAGAATCTTTTTCCGATTTTAAGACACCCAAAAAAAAAAGAAATTTGATGGAAAACTGACGGAATTAAAGCTCTCGCGAAATTAGTGACCTCGGCAATATTTACAAATTGGCGATTTCGCCCTTTTTGGGAGCCCTATTTTCGGCAAATTTTCCTTGTTCCAGTTGACCAAACTCGTAGCTATTTCTTTAGAACTCCATTTTTTCTATTGAGTTGAGTACAAGAAACTGCCCATTTACGATTTCAACTACCCAGTAATGTGGTCAGAAATTTGTAATTTGGCCAATTTCACGAAATGAAAAAATATGACAATTTCAAAATAGGTCCCAGAATGAACAATGCAGACATTCCTGGCCCTCTAAAATAACATTTTCTTTGTTCTTTCAGTCATGTCTCCAGGCCCCTCTGATATTACTCTTGCTTTCTATTTTGAATTTTTATTCAAACAAAAAATAGAAGATTTAATGTTATGCAGACTACTGCAGTACTGTAATAATTGTACAAATAATGTCAACCCATTCATGACTGCATATTAGAATGGCTACTTGGACATTTATTGGACAATGACATCATTTGTTTACTTTTACATCGGCAAAAATCAAGCATTTTTCCCCCATTTGAGCTCCATTTCCAGGTTCTTTTTATAGTAAAACTAATCAAAATTCCCTCTATTTCTATAATAAAGTTTTCCATTTTATCAAATGAGACCAAGAAAACAAGAATACACCCATAAATACTGTACGAAAATAGACCACAAAGTCGGCATTTTAATTAAAAAAAAACGGTCGGAGTTTTTTTTTTTTCATTATGCACTGCGTGCTGCAGGATTTTTTTTTATATGGTGCACACTGACCACACATACCCATTGTCTCACATGTAGGCCTACCAGCTTGCTCCCGCTTGATTTGAAGCCGCTAGAATTTATGAGTTTTATACGCAAACACGGTGGCTCGTAAGACGTATATATCGACCAAAACATTTAAAGGGTTAAAAACACTAGCCATCTCCCACCCCGGTAGGATAACTTGAAAAGAAAACACTTTCACCATCATTCACAATATCAGTGTCTTGCCAGAGGCATAGATATGACAGTTCAGATGTCCCTTCCAAACAGCAAAAGGTCTCTAAACTCCATCTTTAAAGTGCAGGTATTGCACTTCCCCCGGGAAAACATGAACACTAATAAATACTACCGAGCTGTATATTGTGATACCCCATTATTCACAGGCCAAAAAGCTTCATGTTTTGTTTTTTCTGGGAAAAAGTGGTTGTGGAATATGACTAATGGTGAAACAATTCACTGATCTAAAGGGGAATTTCTAAAAATTGATGGAATGAATACTTTGACTCCAGGTTGAGGGACTGATTTTCTCAAACTCCTGATGCTCCACTATTCTTCTCTGTATTGGACTGAAGAAGTCAGTGGCTAGTGAAATATATCCACAATAAAGATTCCCAAATGTTGTATAACTGTCTCAATTATTCACTTGTCATTTTCTAAATCATTCATACAAGTAATGGAGCTTATTGTGGTATTCTGTGATATACGTACACACAAAATAACCCATTATTATTTTACATTTCCTCTAAAAGAAAAGCTGTGTCACAGCTACTGAAGAGCTTTTTATCCAAGAATTGAATGTATCCTCCTCTTCCTCAGATCAAATCTAGTTCCATACCAGACTCTATGCCCTATGAGTCAAGCAAATTATCCAGGAGGGTTTGATAGTTATGAGTAGTAGGTTGGCAGTAAACAACCATTATGGAGGTACCCTATTTGCGGCTTATAAGATGCGGCTTATAAGATTTGTTTTAGTTTCAATGTCTCGGCATTGGATGTAACTGGGAGAGCTACAGTCCACCCCACACCCCAAACTTATAGCTCCCGTCACTGACCTTCAGTTTTAAATAGGACGCAGGCTGGTTTTTGGTGATATTTTATGGAAAAAATGCGTTTTAATAAGCCACGAAATAGGGGTACTACCCTACTGTCTTACAAGGTAAAGTGGAAGCCTGTTATTGTTTGCACCCCAACAGGATTGCTGATTTTTTCTGTCTCATAAATCTGTATGATTACAGGTTTATAATGGTTTATCTTAAACTCAGCTCCCGCTTCACACACTGAGGGCCCGGGTTCGATTCCCGGCGGGTTGGAAATTCCGACACTTTTCCTTAAAACCTATTGTCCTGTTCACCTAGCAGCAAATAGGTACCCGGGTGTTAGTTGACTGGTGTGGGTCGCATCCTGGGGGACAAGATTAAGGACCCCAATGGAAATAAGTTAGACAGTCCTCGATGACGCACTGACTTTCTTGGGTTATCCTGGGTGGCTAACCCTCCGGGGTTAAAAATCCGAACGAAATCTTATCTTCTTAACCCTTAAACGGTCCAAACAGATCTATGTTCACATGCGTAGCGCTCCAAAAGTAGATCTACGTTTTTTTTACATATTTTCAATTATAAAAATGAAAGTAGATGAAGCTTTTTTGTACACGTTTTCAAATGTAAAAAAAAAAAAAAAAAAAATTTCATTTTTACATACTTTCAATTGTTGAAAAAACATAGATCTACATTTGGACAGTTTAAGGGTTAATAGTTCTTAATCTTGTAATATTTCCTTTCCAACCTATGAGGCCTGGTCTAAGACCAGGCCATTGGGAAAATACAGTGGACCCCCGCATAACGACTACCTCCGAATGCGACCAATTATGTAAGTGTATTTATGTAAGTGTGTTTGTACGTGTATGTTTGGGGGTCTGAAATGGACTAATCTACTTCACAATATTCCTTATGGGAATAAATTCGGTCAGTACTGGCACCTGAACATACTTATGGAGTGAAAAAATATCGTTAACCGGGGGTCCACTGTAATCCCCAAAACCACTGACAGATAACAGAGGTGCAACAAGGTGCAGTTCTTCCCTTAGCACATTTGCTTTCACCATCCAAAGCTGGTTCTGCCACCACTACCTCTCCCAAAAGGGCTGGATGCATAAGCTTGTATCTCGAGTTTCATTCAAGAAGATTGTCAAACTCATGGTCATCGTGATGTCTACAATAGGAAATATCCTCGGGTGTTATTCTTTTTACCCCTATGTCTTACCTTTATTGCAAGGTCAGTGGCTTTGCTGGGTTTGGGTTCTGGCTTGGAGGGCCCCTTGGCAGTTTCACCAGATCCATCCCCCAGGATTATGTTCACCACCGCATACTCAATGAGCGCCATGAACACAAACCTGCCAGCATAGGAGGAGTAAATAGTAGTTTTATATATTAAATCTAATGACCAATGGACTATTGTCTTACTGATCATCATTTAAATTTTAAGTTAGCCCGAAATGCTCTGCACACAAAGGGGCTTTTCGCATGTACACCTAACTATTATATTCCTTTGTACAAACCATGCATCATGTCAAAATATACTATGTATTTGTATTATTTTTATAAAGGGTGGCTGTATATGCTAATGCCAACTAAATGATGTTAAACTTCTAAAACAGTAGGGCATGAAAGCCCTGGCAAGCTAATCCTAAAACTAACAAGTCATTGTGCTCCCCATTGCTGGTTTTAGGACTGGTTAGCTATGGGATGACTCACAGTTTGTTTAGCAAGTTCTTGCAATCACGTTATAATTTTACGAGTCAGTGTGATATTAAGATAGTGTGCTGAAGAAACTTTTATACGACCAAACATTTTGTTCAAGGTAGAGTTGTATTGTTGCCTTGATAGAGCTCTACACTAAACAGAGCTATGCCTTAACAAAGCTTTTCTTGCATGCTTATTTATACCCAGATAGATAGATAGATTAGATTTTGCCACCGAAGTGGCTAGTTTATTGTGCACCCCATATCCATCCTGTGGACGGTAGCGCGAGAGCATATGGATACACAAAAGGCCTAGGGAAATAGGCCCCAAAGGGTTAACAGGAATACATATGGATTTAATTTACATACTATAGTTCACTTATCTGTTTACAGGGAAATTTAGGAAATTTGCTTAGTATATCTGGTATCTTATTTTCATTAATAAGATATCTTGACATGTCACATAGGTTATTATATTGTCTGTCTCTGTATTCCTCAATAAGTGGACAATTAAGCACATAGTGTTCAAGAAGTGACCATATGCCTGATCACATAATTTACATTTAGTTTGATCATCATCTGTGTGTCTCCCAAACTGCCAGAAGTACTTGTAACCAAGCCTAAGCCTGGCCACTACAACATCAGTCAGTCTGTTCACATTGCACGTTGCTCCATAAACATATTTATCTACGTTCATGTTATCATAGGGGTTATAGATCTACTCAGACTTCTAACTGCATTCCTATAACAATCATTTTCATTATTTACTCTCTCCTAAATTATTCCTAATGCTAGACACAGTTATACCAAGTTTATATTCTACATTCTCCTTCTGGCACTCTTCTTGGCTAACATATCAACTTTATCATGAAGGAGTAATCCAATGTGTGATGGGATCCATAGCAATTGTACATTAATTCCTTTGTCCCTAATTTTTGAGTATCTATACCTGGCTTCCCCAATGAGCATGTTGTTGGAGTCATTATATGAGTCAAGAGCCTTCAATGATGACATAGAATCAGTAATGATGATAGAGTCAAGCTCAGTGTCATAGGTTAGCTTTAGCGCCATTAGGATTGCAAACAATTCAGTTTGCAGTGTAGACGCCCAGTTGTTAATTCTTATGCCTAACTCAACAAATTTATTATTGTTCTTAACTAGGGAGGTGGCAACAAGAGCAGATGTAGCCCTGCCAGAAGACTCCTGTTTAGATCCATCAGTGTATATAACTTGTGATAACTTATTACTATCAGCTAGGTGAGAAATTTCTTCTTGAGCAGTTGCTCTAACAAGAGATTTAAGGAAGGGATTACTAGCAATGAGCTTCTTGGGAGGGACTTGTAGGTATGTGATATTAAATGAACACATCTTCCATGGAGGGGTGAAATGCTCTTGTTGCCTACAGTGATACAGTTCATGTAGGTTATAAAACTTAATGCAATTGCACGTTTTCACAATCCATTTAGATCTGTGTGTATTTACCTCTAGACACTTGGTAAGATTCACTGTGACAGTGTCTGGTTCGTTTCTCAACATTCTAATACCGAGTACAGTGTTAATTTCAACAATCCTATCACTGATACTAGAAATACCAAGCTCCTTCCTCATGTTAAGAACTTTTGTAGATCTGGGACAGCCAAGAATAATCCTGAGAGCTTCATTTTGCATTAACTCCAAGGGTCGGAGAGAACTTTCTCTAGCTAATATCAACATGGGAGCAGCATAATCAATTAAGGACCTAACATACGCTATGTACATCATTCTCACGATTCTCGCATTAGCACCATTAGCACCATAGCTTTGCATTTCTTGTTTAGTTGTGGTATAGTGGATTTGTTAAAGGGTACATCTACACCAAGATATCTGTAAGTTTTAACGTAGCTAATGATTTCACCCTGCAAATACTAGATGGGTGGGGGATGTCGTTTGCTTGTTAATATCTTTGTTTTAGAGGAAGATATTATGAGGCCTAGTCGATTACAAATTGCTTGAACTTCATTAAGAATGGTATTCATCTTCTTATGCCCTGTTGTATGGATCATGATATCATCAGCATAGCTTATAGCTATATGTTTAGGTGAGGCAGGTAGAGCATTTAGGAGAGCATTAATCAGAATATTAAATAGCATGGGACTAAGAACTCCTCCCTGCGGTGTACCTAAAGACATTTCTTTAGAATCACTTCTGAAGCCTTGGTAAAGGACAGAGGATATTTCTATTTGACAGGTATCCTATTATCCAGCAGAGTAAGCTACCACCAATATTCATTTTGGCTAGTTCATGTAGTACTAACGGTTCTGTTCGCAATATCAAATGCAGATTTTAGATCAAGAAAAGTGGTTAAAAACTAGTAGAGGTGTGTGCAGTGAGAAAGGTGGAAATACAGTTCTGCACACTTTTACCTTTCATGAACCCATAGAGGTAGGGGGAAAGTTGATGTCTGATTCTGTAGTACAGTCTGTTAAGCATCATTCTTTCAAAAGTTTTACAAAGACAACTAGTTAAGGAGATCGGCCTAAATGTATCAGGCTGTTGGGGCTTAGGGATAGGCACAATGAGACTATTGGTCCAGGAAGTAGGAAGAACGCCCTCAATGTAACTGAGATTATACAGTGCCAACAAAGGGTTATCAGGCACGTGCCTTAGAGTTCTGAGAATATCATAGGTTATACCATCCTCTCCAGGAGCAGTTGATTGACCTTTGGTTAATGCATTATCTAATTCATACTCGGTAAAGAGGCAATCACTCTCATCAATATTTTGGCTCATAAATTAATCAGTTTCAACATTTCTTCAGAAGTACTCTCTAAATTTTTTCTAATATGAGATGGAAGGCTTTCATGCCTGGATGTTTTGGACCAGTCATTTATGAGGTCATTTGCTTTTTCAAGAGGAAAGGGATAAGCAACATTGCCAGTCTTTTTCCTGGTTATTTTATTTATACCTTTCCAAGCCAAACTCAAAGGGGTGGACCTATTTAATCCACTAACAAACTGTTCCCATTCCTGTTGCCTAAGTTCTTCCTTTCTATTCCTTGCATTTGTTAGTGCAGCTTGGAACGTTCTGAGCAGGTCTGGGGTTCTACATTCACGGTATGCTTTACCAATCCTCCTAGCTGCATGTGTTAGATTGCGTAGCTGTGGATCATTATAGTATTTACATTGGTTTTTATTGTTATTTATAGTGGAGGGTCTTTGTTTCCTATTCCTGCCCACTTGATCTGTGAGAACACTCTCAATAGTGGTAATTTAAATCATCATTAAATTTTTGTGTGCCAATGGGCTCGTAATTCTTATACCATTGATCCAAGTGGTTAATAAAGTTGTCTCTGTGTTCTGGTTTGAGAATAAGTTTCCTCCTTCTGTATTTAGCTCCTTGATTGCTGGAGATGTGATCAAGATTGACAGTTGTTAGTCTTGGGAAGTGATCAGATAGAAGATCATCAACTATGACAGAGTCATGCATCGTATATGATGTATTAAATCCAAGACACAGATCTAGTATGCCACCATATATGTGAGTAGGCTCAGTAGTGCCCACAATTCGAACATTATCATGCTCATTTAGCAATCTCACTAGTTTAGTTCCATTGGTGTTTGTTATAGACCCACCAATATTCTTATGTCTGGCATTAAAATCTCCAAGAATGATGGTAGGTTCACTACTGATGCGATCTGGTAAAGCATCAGGTCGAAGCTGGTTCGCTGGGCATAGAGATTAAAAATGTTTATGGAAAAATCGCCTGCATATACTTTGACACCATGATACTGCATGTTAACTCGACTCTGCAGGAAAGGAGTGAATGTGGCAAGTTCTTTCTGACATACATCACACAACAGTTGGTTGACCTTAGGTTATAAGCTGCATATCCAGGCAAGTTTGGTGGAGGTGCTCCATCTTTCAATCTACATTCCTGCAAACAGATGACATCAATATTCTTGGTTGCACTAATATGATGTAAGTCAGGCAACCGCTTCCTGATGGAAGCAATGTTCCATGAAAAGATTTGTAATGTATCCATTGTAGTGAGTTATTACAATCTCTTGCTCATAAGATGGTAAAACTATTATGCTTTGACTACAGTGTGCAGACACTTAAGAGCAAATAGCATAGTTTGTACGTCTTTATCTTCAGGACCTTTATTTTTAAGCATTTTTCGGCATCTTGGCAGCCAGTTAAAAGGCAAGTCTTGAAGGCAAGTGTCATGGGCTTCTTTCTCACAAATTGCTGGAAACTGAATGGGGATTGCTGCACTTTTGACATCATCACCATGCTCAAGAGCATCATCCTGATTACATATATTTATTAAATTTGTCAGGATCTGTTCAAGATGCTCAATTTTTTCTGGAAATTTGTTATAATATGAGGAAGGTCAGGCGAATCCAATGCCTCTCCGGAGGATGGCACTTCTGGGTTAGTGCTTTCTTTAACACCTATCACCTTAACAGGTACCATGGTTACATTAGTGTTCTCTGTTTCATCATTCATTGCAGGTAGGTCCTGTGCATCTGACTCATCTCCAATTTCCAGGGGGGTTACCTGTGTGGTGTCCGTCTGACTGTTGTAGTTGTGTGTATTGGGAGAAATGACAAACTCATCCCCATATTCAGGTGTAGCCATAGGTATCTGTAGTGGCAGACCAGTAGTTCCATATGTGCTAGCAGGGATGGCTAGCTCCTCCACAGCTGGTGTGTGTGATGACATTCTGGTATCACCAGAATCATTTGCAGTGAGGTGGGGTTCTTGCACACTTTGCAGAGGTTCAGTCTCAGATCTGGCTGTGGTAGACTGGATGGCCTCATCCTCAGTTACCATTAAAGGGCTGTTATCAGGTTTACATCGAAGGTTGTTTGGGTTCTGACTGCAGTCCGTGTGGGAAACTGTAACCCCAACTTCTTTACAGTTAATACACTTAAATTTTTGGCTGTCAGGGCCTACTGTGCATTCTCTAGTGGAATGTTTCCCAGCACACTTACCACACCAAGAATGTAGTATTCCACAGTCTACTGCAACATGGCCATAGTGCTGGCATTTGTAACACCTACGTTTAGGGGGTAGGTACACTTCGATGTTTAGGAAACGTAAACCATGCACCCAGATATTCCGGGGGGAGGGCACAGGACCCACCCAACTGGCAATAATTTGGGATTTTCCTTTAAGTCTTTTAGGCTTGATGATATGCTCACTGAGAGTCAGATGGGATGGGTCCATGTAGAGAGGGTATCCAAAGATTATGATACTGACCCATTTTTTAAAGTGGTGAGTGTCTGATGGAGGTCGGAGCAGCTTAATATCCCCATAAGGTGTACTAAGTAGATCATTGATCAGTTCTGCATTCTGTTCCACAAACACAAAGTTGTGTGTGTTTTTCCTAAATTGGATCCTTGAGTTAGGATGTTTGTTTACAGCTTCCTTTAGCCATGCACACTTAGCAGGCAGCGGGGTGTTGTCATGCACACTTAGCAGGCAGCGGGGTGTTGTCATGCACACTTAGCAGGCAGCGGGGTGTTGTCATGCACACTTAGCAGGCAGTGGGGTGTTGTCAGGGAAGTTCAGCTTAACACATTCTTCCTTTGAAGAAAGACTTCTTGCAGCCTTTGTGCACCAAGGACGTTTAGTATCACATTGTGTACGAGTCAAGTGAGTCTGACTACGTCGACGCTCTAGTCCTTTCTCACTTTTTCTCTTTTGTTTACTTTTAAAGGTCTGGAAGCTATCATCATTTCCATCACCTGCAGAAATAGGTTCCTCTATGACAGTTGCCATGTTTGCCAGTGATGATATCTGGTGTAAGACTCACAACACAAGAATTCCTCGCTTATCTTTCCCTTATAGCTTATGCAAGAGCAAATATTCACTACAAAGTCAGAAGTCCAAAATAGATCACAAGACACAAGTGCTCAAGTTCAATGAACACCTCTAACCGTACTCAACCCAGACCACCACCACTCAATACGACACACACCCCACCAAAAACACACTCTTGTATGTGTAGTAATAATATGGTACATATAATGATATAATGGATGGTACAGGCGAGGTCTTACACCTTATCACAAATTACAAAGATGAAGAGAGAGAGAGAGAGAGAGAGAGAGAGAGAGAGAGACAAAGTAGGTAATATTGAGCATAAAATTAGAATTCTGACATACATCACATTAAACAAGAGGTTCAAATTCAATGATAACTTCCACTTGAGATAGTTCAGGCTACTGCCACCTAATGTACCTCACTGAAATAATAATATAGCAGACATCACAATGAATGCTGAAGACAACCTCTTACCCCAACCATACATTGTAAACAGTATTACTAAAAAAAAAAAAAAAAAAAAAAAAAAACTAGGTAATGTTACAATGACAATGAGATAAATCACTCACCCAGAGATGATAAAGGTGCACATTTTAACTTGTTAACTAACATGTACCTTGAAGATGGGTGCTCTGATGCTGAAGGGCTCTTGATCCAAGGAATTGAAACTTCCCTCCCATTATATCAATCTTGATTACCTCAGATTCCCCAGACAGTATTACATAAGTGCTTCCCTGCTAATATAATTTTCTTTTTAACACATCAGTCATCTTCCACTAAGGTAGAAGAGAAACTTACACCATCATTCATTCAATCACTGTCTTGTCAGAAGTGTTAACATTACAATTCAGATGTCCTTCCAAACTGCTGCATCCCCATCCCTCCTTCAGAATAAAGCCACTTTACTTCCCACCTTCAGGATTCAAGTCTGGCCCTCTGGTTTTGTAAAGTAAAAGGACACAAGTGCAACTAATGTGACATTTTATTGTCACATTAGTTGCACTTGTGTCCTTTTACTTTACATTTTATTTTATTTTATTATCACACTGGCCGATTCCCACCAAGGCAGGGTGGCCCGAAAAAGAAAAACTTTCACCATCATTCACTCCATCACTGTCTTGCCAGAAGGGTGCTTTACACTACAGTTTTTAAACTGCAACATTAACACCCCTCCTTCAGAGTGCAGGCACTGTACTTCCCATCTCCAGGACTCAAGTCCGGCCTGCCGGTTTCCCTGAACCCCTTCATAAATGTTACTATGCTCACACTCCAACAGCACGTCAAGTATTAAAAACCATTTGTCTCCATTCACTCCTATCAAACACGCTCATGCATACCTGCATATTGTCGGTAATTCTACCAACATTATTACCCTCTGGTTTTCCCTGAATCCCTTCATAAATGTTACCTTGCTCTCATTCCAACAACATGTCACATACAGCCTCTCCTCACTTAACGATGGAGTTCCTTCCATTCCTAAGACCACGTCGGTAAATGAATTTGTCGCTAAGTGAGGAGCATACTATAATGGTAGTGGGTTTGTGTCAACCATCTTTGATATTGTTTTAATGTTACCTTTGTACCATTTATAACATTTCTGGTATATTTTTAAATGTTTATACAGTAATATACTATATATTGTAATAAACAGAATAGAGGAAATCAGCTCTAATATACATTATTTAGGTATGTCAGAGAGCCCGTCATAAGTTCAAGTCGTCGGTAAGCAAGTACGTCGCTAAGTGAGGAGAGGCTGTACACAGATACACAAATAACTCATACATAGGAGAGAGGAGCTTACAACGATGTTTCAATCCAACTCATCTCAATGAATTAAAGAAGCTGGATGTCTGTGCACTGAGTCAAGAAGTTAATAGGGGTTAGGGAAACTGAAGTGGGAAAAGTTAAAGGAATTAAGTGGAATTTGAAAGCAGGACCATATGTAGTAGAAGATTAAAGTTAATGGATAAATTTAAAAACAGAAAAGAGGTAAATGGAAGAATGGATAAGTAAGGTTAGCACCATTTTTGGAAAGAGAGAGAAATAAGGTAAGAAAATGTAGGAAGTAGATTGATTTAATCTGTTAAGAATGAAAGTGGTTAGGTGCTAGATGTGCCAGATGAGGAGGAAAAGATTTTCGAGAGATGGTAAAAATATTCTGAAAAACTTTTTAAACGATGATGGAATAAGGTTCTGAGAGGTAGGGATATACTGATCTGGCAGGCATGCGTTAATATGATGGAGTGGAGTGAGTTGAAGCAAGTGTATTTTGCAATTTGACATGTTGGAGTGTAAGTATGATGCTAGCTATAACATTATTCAGGAAAACAAATTCTGATAATTTCAAAACTCAGATTCTTTCTCGTTTTGGAGCAATTCTGAATATGGTACAGTAAGAGAATTTGAATTAAGAGAATTTGTTACTTTTTTTTTTTTTGTAAATTAACAGCTGTCTCCCACCAAGGCAGGGTGACCCAAAGAAGAAAGTATAATAATTTCTTCTTTAGCTTTTCAATGTTATAACTGAATACAAAAGAAGGGGGTTACTGATCCCTTGCTTCTGGCATTTTAGTCATCGGTTATCTGGGAAGAATTCTATAGCTCACTATTCCTGTGGGATAATAAGTCATTAAATTCCTGCAGTTTGCCAAATAAAATTATGGATACTGAATAACGTAATGTATACCATATACACTATCAGAAAATACAGACAACTTCCAGTAGATAGATGATATACCAACACAATGGAAAATAGACAGAAATGCAGTATAATGTGATCTTTTATTGACTAACATAGTCAGTTAACCCTTAAACGGTCCAAACGTATATATACGTTTTTTCAACATCTGAAAGTATGTAAAAAAATGTAGATCTTCCTTTTTGTTTTACATTTGAAAATGTGTAAAAAAAACTTTTATCTACATTTTTTTTTGTTAGGTTAGGTTAGGTAAGGTTCGTCAGGAAACAGGACAAATGTTTCCTGACGCGGGTCTTAGTCACATGATGACCGCCTTTGGAGATTTTGGTCATCTGACCGAGGCCTTCCGCTGGCTTACCGGTCCACCCCTTTAAAAATTATGGTCATTTATAACCATTGTTAGTATATTTTTTTTTGTTATATTTGGAAATATGTAAAAAAAAACTAGATCTACTTTTGTAGCTACGAATTTTGAACGTCGATCTGTTTGGACCGTTTAGTTTAAGGATCACATTATAGTACTGCATTTATATGTATTTTTCCATAACTTCCAGTAACGAAGAAGTGACCATGAACTCACACTGTGCAGAACGACATGAATATGTCGATGGTTTTTATATACGAAACTGGTGGAAGTGATGCTTGTGACTTTGCCTGCTGAGTGAAGAGTGTCAGCAATGATGTGACACCCAGTGTGACCCGCGCTGGCGCTATCTCCGGCTTTATCCAGAAGGATACCCACTGAGACAGAGGGAATGGAGTTATCACTCATGTTCCACAGGTCCGTATTTCACGGCTTATTAGACACATTTATTTTTCCATAAAATGTCTCCAAAAACCTCCCTGCGTCCTATAAACCGAAGGTCAGTGATGGGAGCTATAAGTTTGGGGTGTGGGGTGGGCTGTAGCTCTCCCAGTTACGCCTGATGCCGAGGCATTGAAACTAAAAACAAGTCTTATAAGCCACGAAATACGGTATTTGATGTTTATCTGTGTGGGTTAGGCCAAGTTAGTGTTACATTCATCTTTAGCCAAGAAATAAAAATTATATTCATGTTAAAAAGAGGGTAAGTACAGTGGACCCCCGCTTAACGATCACCTCCAAATGCGACCAATTATGTAAGTGTATTTATGTAAGTGCGTTTGTACGTGTATGTTTGGGGTCTGAAATGGACTAATCTACTTCACAATATTCCTTATGGGAAAAAATTCGGTCAGTACTGGCACCTGAACATACTACTGGAATGAAAAAAGTTCGTTAACCGGGGGTCCACTGTATTTTGCATTTGAATCTAATACCCGTAATATTTTAAAAATAATTCTTATGGTGTACTGTCACACAATGCCTATACAGTAGGACCCCCCATATCCACGTGAGATACATTCCGAGGACCTGCCATGGTTACTGAAACTGTGGATAGTAGCAGACCCTATACAGTATATAAGTCCTGTACAATAAGTAGAGAATTATCACCTTTTCACTAATGGGAAGCACTTCACAGCTCTCTTAGGCTTTGAAGAACTGCCAACTTCTCTACTTTTGCACTTTAAGGCTATTACAGTGGACCCCCGCATAACGATCACCTCCCAATGCGACCAATTATGTAAGTGTATTTATGTAAGTGCGTTTGTACTTGTATGTTTGGGGGTCTGAAATGGACTAATCTACTTCACAATATTCCTTATGGGAACAAATTCAGTCAGTACTGGCACCTGAACATACTTCTGGAGTGAAAAAATATCGTTAACCGGGGGTCCACTGTATTATACAAAATGAAGAAATATTTTTGAGCCACAGTAAACCATGGATTAATGAAGCCACGGATACCAAATCAATGGATACGGTGGTTCTACTGTTTTTATATGCTAGGACTATTTAGTTCGTAAGATTTAGAACTAGTAAAACCTGAAATGCTTCGCATGATAAATGGCTTTCCTATGAACGTACAAATCATGTGTTCTCATAATCATATTGAAACAGTAAAAAAAAAAAAAAACACAAACCCATCTAACTGCAAGTTCCATGCATGTTTTGAAAAAAAATAATGGCTTGACTCTGAACATAAATACAGTTATCATAAAATTGTAACATATGTATACGGGTTAACCTCAAAAAAAGTCAAAGTGACTTATTTCCAATGGGGCCCCTTGAAAACCTCTTGGTCAGCTGGGGACACTTACCGACATAATAACGATGAGGCAGGTGGGAATGTAGGTGTGGAAGACGTAGTAGCCAAGACGTCGCTTCAGTCTAAACACCACCTCCAGGCAGGTGAAGTTGCCTGATAACCACATCCACCAGTACGGAGCCACAAAAATACACACTTTAGTTTATGGATATATAATCAAAGAGAAGACAGAGCTGTGATTGATTTCAAATGTTCCTTTATTAATGCAGCCTGGCCTGAGGCTAGGCTTCCATACTGACTGCCTTGTCTGTATAAGTTGTATCATGTATTTGTAGAAATAAAAGATTATTATACTATTATTATTTACAAGGTAGTTGTTGTTATGGCACTTGCAAGCAGAGGCAGATAAAGGCATGGGTTTTAAGAGCTGGAAGCCCAGGGGCCATCGCTAGCTGAAGGGCCTCCAGACAGTTCTGAAGCCCAGGGCCCCACAGTACCTGAAGCCCAGGGGCCCCACAGTACCTGAAGCCCGGGGGCCCCACAGTACCTGTAGCCCAGGGCCTACAAAATCTTACTCTGGCTCTGCCTGCAAGAAATAGTAATTTAAATATCATCTATGTCATCTGTTGAGTAGTACAGTGGACCCCCGCTTAACGATCACCTCCAAACGCGACCAATTATGTAAGTGTATTTATGTAAGTGCGTTTGTACATGTATGTTTGGGGGTCTGAAAGGGACTAATCTACTTCACAATATTCCTTAAGGGAACAAATTCGGTCAGTACTGGCACCTGAACATACTTCTGGAGTAAAAAAAATATCGTTAACCGGGGTCCACTGTATATCTATATTCTCCTCTACTTGCCTAGTTGGGTATGCTGGGGGTCGAGTCATAGGTCTTATTCCTGCCTCAACTCCAGTCATCGTGGTTTTGAAATTCCCTGGTCTACAGAATTAGATCATACTTAAATTTGTGTTCACAAGGGTAGAGTAATAGCTCCAGGTCTTCCCCTCTCGACATTCATCGACGGGAAATTACTGATTCAGTGTCTTTAAAGCTGGATCATACCATCTCTTGAAACTCTGTAACATTTAGTTCATCTGTCTCGCACTTAACACACGGAGATTCGAGCCTCCACCATGTCATGCACTGAGTGGCCCACATGGGCTTAGCACTTAACATGAATTATTAATTATTAACCTGCATGATCGGAACTAATCTTCCATTTTTTTTGGCTCATTTCTGCCTATTTCCCAGGTGAATGACCTCCACCCATATGTGTTTAGTGCTTCTTTGTGAATATAGCAATAATTACCTGTGGAGTAGACCTGGGTACAGTCTGAGGTGTAATTGAGGATGATGTCTTGCTGAGGCAGTTCTATGCTTTCGTCTACTGCAAGGGGCACCTCTGGATCCCACTCGAATACCAACTCTTCCGTCGTGTGGGATACTGTGTGGAAAGAGTGAGTGGGATATTGTAGGGGAGAGGGATATTGCTGGGGAGTGAGAGGGACATTGTAGGGGAGAGAGAGAGACATTGTAGGGGATGAGAGGGACATTGTAGGGAGAGTGGGGAGGGACATGGTAAGGGAAGATGTTGTGGTGGAGTGAGAGGGACAGTGTAGGGAAGAGTGAGAGGACAGTGTAGAGTAAGACGTTGTGGTGGAGTGAGAGGGACATTGTAGGGGAGAGTGAGAGGGACAGTGTAGAGTAAGACGTTGTGATGGAGTGGAGGGACATTGTAGGGAAGAGTGAGAGGGACAGTGTAGAGTAAGACGTTGTGGTGGAGTGAGAGGGACAGTGTAGAGTAAGACGTTGTGGTGGAGTGAGAGGGACTGTAGGAAGAGTGAGAGGGACATTGTAGGGGAGAGTGAGAGGGACAGTGTAGAGTTATGATGTTGTGGTGGAGTGAGAGGGACAGTGTAGGGAAGAGTGAGAGGGACAGTGTAGAGTAAGACATTGTGGTGGAGTGAGAGGGACAGTGCAGAGTAAGACGTTGTGGTGGAGTGAGAGGGACATTGTAGGGAAGAGTGAGAGGGACATTGTAGGGGAGAGTGAGAGGGACAGTGTAGAGTAAGACGTTGTGGTGGAGTGAGAGGGACATTGTAGGGAAGAGTGAGAGGGACATTGTAAGGGAGAGTGAGAGGGACAGTGTAGAGTAAGACGTGTGGTGGAGTGAGAGGGACATTGTAGGGTGAGAGGGACAGTGTAGAGTAAGACGTTGTGGTGGAGTGAGAGGGACATTGTGGGGGTGAGAAGGACAGTGTAGAGTAAGACATTGTGGTGGAGTGAGTGGGACATTGTAGGGTGAGAGGGACAATGTAGAGTAAGACGTTGTGGTGGAGTGAGAGGGACAGTGTAGAGTAAGACGTTGTGGTGGAGTGAGAGGGACAGTGTAGAGTAAGACGTTTGTGGTGGAGTGAGAGGGACAGTGTAGAGTAAAAACGTTGTGGTGGAGTAAGAGGGACATTGTAGGGGTGAGAGGGACAGTGTAGAGTAAGACGTTGTGGTGGAGTGAGAGGGACATTGTAGGGATGAGAGGGACAGTGTAGAGTAAGACGTTGTGGTGGAGTGAGAGGGACATTGTAGGGGTGAGAGGGACAGTGTAGAGTAAGACATTGTGGGGAGTGAGAGTGGACATTGTAGGGGTGAGAGGGACAGTGTAGAGTAAGACGTTGTGGTGGAGTGAGAGAGAAATATTTGGTTACTGATGGGTAAGTGGCAGGTATAATAGAGCAGCCTGGGGAAAATGGTGGGAATTGTTGACAATCCTGGGAGAAATTAAGGAGGAATAGTTGGCAACTCTGTGTGAAAATAGAATAATTGACTAACTTGGGTTAAAATAGAATTGTTGGCAACCCTGGATGAAAATATACTGAATAGTTGGCAAGCCTGGATGAAAATATAGAGAACAGTTGGCAAGCCTGGATGAAAATATAGAGAACAGTTGGCAAGCCTGGATGAAAATATAGAGAACAGTTGGCAAGCCTGGATGAAAATATAGAGAACAGTTGCAAGCCTGGATGAAAATATAGAGAACAGTTGGCAAGCCTGGATGAAAATATAGAGAACAGTTGGCAAGCCTGGATGAAAATATAGAGAACAGTTGGCAAGCCTGGATGAAAATATAGAGAGCAGTTGGCAAGCCTGGATGAAAATATAGAGAACAGTTGGCAAGCCTGGATGAAAATATAGAGAACAGTTGGCAAGCCTGGATGAAAATATAGAGAACAGTTGGCAAGCCTAGATGAAAATATAGAGAACAGTTGGCAAGCCTGGATGAAAATATAGAAAACAGTTGGCAAGCCTGGATGAAAATATAGAGAACAGTTGGCAAGCCTGGATGAAAATATAGAGAACAGTTGGCAAGCCTGGATGAAAATATAGAGAACAGTTGGCAAGCCTGGATGAAAATATAGAGAACAGTTGGCAAGCCTGGATGAAAATATAGAGAACAGTTGGCAAGCCTGGATGAAAATATAGAGAACAGTTGGCAAGCCTGGATGAAAATATAGAGAACAGTTGGCAAGCCTGGATGAAAATATAGAGAACAGTTGGCAAGCCTGGATGAAAATATAGAGAACAGTTGGCAAGCCTGGATGAAAATATAGAGAACAGTTGGCAAGCCTGGATGAAAATATAGAGAACAGTTGGCAAGCCTGGATGAAAATATAGAGAACAGTTGGCAAGCCTGGATGAAAATATAGAGAACAGTTGGCAAGCCTGGATGAAAATATAGAGAACAGTTGGCAAGCCTGGATGAAAATATAGAGAGCAGTTGGCAAGCCTGGATGAAAATATAGAGAACAGTTGGCAAGCCTGGATGAAAATATAGAGAACAGTTGGCAAGCCTGGATGAAAATATAGAGAACAGTTGGCAAGCCTAGATGAAAATATAGAGAACAGTTGGCAAGCCTGGATGAAAATATAGAGAACAGTTGGCAAGCCTGGATGAAAATATAGAGAACAGTTGGCAAGCCTGGATGAAAATATAGAGAACAGTTGGCAAGCCTGGATGAAAATTATAGAGAACAGTTGGCAAGCCTGGATGAAAATATAGAGAACAGTTGGCAAGCCTGGATGAAAATATAGAGAACATTGGCAAGCCTGGATGAAAATATAGAGAACAGTTGGCAAGCCTGGATGAAAATAAGAGAACAGTTGGCAAGCCTGGATGAAAATATAGAGAACAGTTGGCAAGTCTGGATGAAAATATCGAGAACAGTTGGCAAGCCTGGATGAAAATATAGAGAACAATTGGCAAGCCTGGATGAAAATAATAGAGAACAGTTGGCAAGCCTGGATGAAAATATAGAGAACAGTTGGCAAGCCTGGATGAAAATATAGAGAACAGTTGGCAAGCCTGGATGAAAATATAGAGAACAGTTGGCAAGCCTGGATGAAAATATAGAGAACAGTTGGCAAGCCTGGATGAAAATATAGAGAACAGTTGGCAAGCCTGGATGAAAATATAGAGAACAGTTGGCAAGCCTGGATGAAAATATAGAGAACAGTTGGCAAGCCTGGATGAAAATATAGAGAACAGTTGGCAAGCCTGGATGAAAAATATAGAGAACAGTTGGCAAGCCTGGATGAAAATATAGAGAACAGTTGGCAAGCCTGGATGAAAATATAGAGAACAGTTGGCAAGCCTGGATGAAAATATAGAGAACAGTTGGCAAGCCTGGATGAAAATATAGAGAACAGTTGGCAAGCCTGCTATTCTTTGAGGATATCACAAATATCCGCCACAAAAAAAATAATATAATTGCCTTTCTTTAGCCAACAAAAATATGAGCGTAGCTTCCCGCAGTATAAGTGCACCTGGCTGCCTGTAACTGCTCATTATTATTAAGCTCAAAAATCAAGCGCTAAACCCACTAGGGTCATTATAAGTGGTTAAATAAAGTACTCACAGCTCTCCATCTGTAGTTTACATTCTTGAGTGTCATGGGGGTAGATGGCGAAGTTCATGGCACAGGAGAGTTTCAGCGTCAACCTGGCAATATATCACGGTTTAGTGCTCGTTTTAAGTATATATAGAAATGGTTATAACTATGACCATTTCTAAAGTGGTGGAGGGGTAAGCCAGTGGAAGGTCTCGGTCAGATGACCAGAAGTTCCAGCTGTTGGTCATCATATGACTGTGTCAGGAAGCGTCCTGTTTCCTGACCAACCTTATCTAACCTTGTTTTAAGTAAGTTTGTTTAGACACAGGTACACATAAGTACAATTACGTAATTTACGTACTTACAATTATCATACATAGTACATATGTATAAATTACCCCTCCAGGATAACCCAGAAATGTCAGGCGAAGTGACTTATAACCATTGTGGTCGTTGGCGAGGTCAGATTAGGTCATAAGTCTTGTGACGACTCACTACTGCAGCTTTTGGTCATCTGACCGAGGCCTTCCACTGGCTTACCCCTCCACCACTCTAAAAACTGGTTAATTGGTGAGGTGGCATTTACCACAGGTTATAATTGAGAGGACACGAGATGCTGAGGTAATTTGGGCACGTACAGAGAATGAAAAGGAACAGGATGAAGAAAGAGGGAATAGAAATCTAGGGTGGAAGGTTGTAGGGGAAGAGGTTGTGCCAGGAGATAAGCTTTTGAGTTTTAGTGGCTTGGGCATCCAGCAGGTTGTGTGTCATGTATAGGACACATTTGCAGCTCTAGTTTAATAACTATTATGTACCCCATACCCATCCTGTGGGTGGTAGTCAAAAGATTACAGAGGTACATAATGGGTCCAGGGACTGGGCACCAAAATGCAATATATTACTGCTGCAACATTTCGCTCTCCAGAAGTTTTGTCAAGCCTCTAAGGACTTGACAAAGTTCCTGGAGAGCGAAACGTTGCCACAGTAAGATGTCACATTAGTTGCACTTGTGTCATTTTATCTAATATATTGTAAGTAATTCTATCAACATTATTATGTGTGTTAATGAACGCAAATGGGTTTTAATGGATGTATTGCTGGAGTGTGAACAAAATAACTATTATGGAGAAATTCAGGGAAACCAGTTAGCTGGACTCGAATCCTGGAGGTGAAAAGGTGGATTCAGACTCACTGGGACAATAGATATGTTGCCAGATAGTTCAAGGGGAAATGGCAAGCCATCCATAATGAAATTTGTATTTATCTTAACCCACCAGCAGCCAACAAAAGCCTAGCCTCAAGTTGTATTTCTACACATTAAACGTAGCCATACCACTAAAATCCCCCATTAAGGTTCCTTGACACCATTGAGGGTTCTTGATCCAAGGATTGGGCTTCCACTTCCTTTAATCGAACCTAACTGCTTCGGGTTTATCACAGGCCTGGGGACAGTTGGTCCCAGAAGATGAGGCGGTACTTGTACCTCCTCCCATGGCAGACGTAGGTCTCACGACCCTCCCGGGTCACTATCAGGAAAAGACCCAGACTGGGACTGTTATCACTCCCCATGATTGCAATAATAATAATGATAATATACCTTTAACATTATCTTTTTAAGCATGGAATAGCAGTTAAGAGTGCTATTGTCTAATAAATGAAGCCAAGGGAAGTATGATAGCCAACAACTTGTCAAAAATGTTTTAAACAGTGATGTACGTGTTAGTATGCATTTTAATTCCATTTTTTGGGGATTTAACTATTCCTGATTGGTGGTGAAGAAGCTGTGGCCAGGCCAGGACTGTAACTCGACCCATACAAGATACAGACAAGCACAGGTGACATGCAATCTTCATGACCCTCGTGTAGTCGGAGAGATTAAAGCAATTAACCAGGTGTTGTCAGGCGTCAGTCAGGTTATATTTGTCGAGGTAATACCTACCTCAGTCTGGTCATAACACCTGTGCAAGTAATACCTTCCCACGCTAGGATATATATATACCCAGAGTTTAATCCATATTTTAGGTATTACCATATCCTTACCAAGTGGTGAACAGATGACATAATTACCTTTACGTAGCGATGTTTTAAAAGCAAATTAGTGAACCACATTTCCCCATGATAGTCTGTTTATAACATCTAAGGGGATAATATCTTCTCCAGAGTATATATGCAACAAGTATATATATGTGGGTGATCATGCGTGTGTGTATATGTTCATGTGAAATACTCGTCTATTTACATATACAACTATAATATAGAATAAGAGTTCCCACTGTGTAACCATTATATTGAACAGGGTAGCTGCACACTGCTGATGTATCCAATTTTCTCAACAAAACGAACGCTGTAAAGGCTAATGGAACGACCAATTTAGTGTTAGTGGCCACGAGTGCTTTATCAGTGGGTCTAAGTGGTTATGTCTATGTTTAGTGCCTAAGAGGGCACTCCACATTTTCCTGGATTTCGTGTGACGAACTAAGAGTGCCAAGCGTATGTGTTCCTTTGATATATCAGACATCAGTAGGCACCCCATATTTTCCTGGAATTCGTGTGACGAACTGGAAGTGCAAAGTGTGTAAGTTCTTAAGTGTTTAGTGCCTCGGTAGGCACCCCACATTTGCCTGGAATTCATGTGAATAATGTGTTTGACGAACTGGAAGTGCACAAGATCTCAAGTGGTTAGTCACTTTAGTGCCTCAGTAGGCACCCCACATTTGCCTGGAATTCATGTGAATAATGTGTGTGACGAACTGGAAGTGCACAAGATCTCAAGTGGTTAGCCACTTTAGTGCATCAGTGGGCACTCCACATACATATGACAAATAGCAATAAGAAAAAACTGACCTAAATTGATGTGGAACAGAGACTAGCCAAGTCACGAGACGACGACTTCTTGATTCGCCGGTAGTCTCCCGGTCCCGGTCTTTTCCCGATGGTGACCCGGCCTTGGCTCCCAGTCTTGGGAGTGTCCTAAAACCTATGTCTCCCATGGGAGGAGGTACAAGTACCTCCTCATCTTCCGGGACCAACTGTCCCAGGCCTAGCCCCATTCCTCACCCTCACGGGGCTCGTAGGGACAAGCTAGGCCTCTTCAAGATACTGAATCAACAACCACCATATCGTAGCTCACCAGTTTGCCAAACTTAAAGGTAAATCTATGCTAAGTATTCCTGCTAGGCTCGGCCATGTTACCCGAGTCTTGATACGCAATTCAGTTTTAACACAGTGAATGTACTTATATATTAATTAACAGAAGTTAACCTGTAAATTAATATTAACTAGCAAACAATAACTAAAATATAGTTTAACGAAAGAATAAGAATTAGTAAGGTAGATTTTATTATTTTTGTTAATAGTTGTAATGTTATTGCTATTATTATTGGGAAGTGCCAAACCCGTAAAGGTTATCCAGCTTCTGGAGGAGATAATCAGGGTTGATCCAAGGAAGGGGAGAGGAAGTACATTTCCCTGGATCAAGAGCCCTTCACCATCAGGGCACCGTACCTCTACCCCCACGAAGGGTCCTTATTTCAATGCCCAGGCCCGGTGGCCTGGTGGCTAAAGCTCCCGCTTCACACACGGAGGGCCCGGGTTCGATTCCCGGCGGGTGGAAACATTCGGACACGTTTCCTTACACCTGTTGTCCTGTTCACCTAGCAGCAAATAGGTACCTGGTGTTAGTCGACTGGTGTGGTCGCATCCTGGGGGACAAGATTAAGGACCCCAATGGAAATAAGTTAGACAGTCCTCGATGACGCACTGACTTTCTTGGGTTATCCTGGGTTGCTAACCCACCGGGGTTAAAAATCCGAACGAAATCTTATCTTATCTTATCTTAGCATCCCCCTGTGACCCGGCCCTCAGATAGTCCCTGCGTGATCACCCGTTTGGGTTTAAAGCTTTCCGCTGGCTATAAGAATAAAGCAGGAGTAAGAATTACGACACAAGAGAAAGTAAAGTGTATAGCAGATTTAGGTAGGTTGAAAGCAGTACTGGGCACAGTTCCGCTAATTAGCGGAACTAACTTTTTAGTTAGCGGATTAGAGAAGCTAACTTTTCGGTTAGCTGTGCCCACCACTGGTTGAAAGCTTATCAACTACACGAGCTCTTTAGTGTGTGTGTATGTGTGTATATATACACATACATATATACATTGAGACATATATACTTCCATATACATGCACTGTTCCTTTTAGTGCACACACGATTCAAGAGAAATAGGGGCTAAAGCCCCCCTTCCCCCCAATCGAAATATTTTATTTTCAATTACTGACTAATTTTCAGTATATTGACCAGTGACTACTAACCGACCATAGTTGAAAACATTTTACAAATTGACACCATGTATATAATAATGATGTCTCTAACAGTTTTTCAAGATATATTGAAACAAAAAATTATAGTCGTGGCAACTGCAGCGGTAGTTATAGTGAGGATGTTGCCAGCTTGAAAAAAAAAAATCTTTTTGATCCATGGAGACATTTCTCAGGTAGGCAGGAATGGCGGCAGACGTGTGTTATCAGAGTTTTGGTCCTCCCCCCACCGCCTCTCCCCCCCCCCCTCTTCACGCCCTCCCTTCCCCTCTCATTATTTCACCCTCTTTCTCCTCTTCAAATCTGCTTTGGCAAACTTTATTGAACAAGAGTTTCGTGGAACAAGAGAGGCATTGAGAGAAGCTGACGTGGGAGTAAAGTATATACCTAGTCAGCTTCTTTTTAGGAAGGGGGTCGGCCCCTTGGAGGAGAAGGGGGTCGGCCCCTTGGAGGAGAACGGGGTCGGCCCCTTGGAGGAGAAGGGGGTCGGCCCCTTGGAGGAGAACGGGGTCGGCCCCTTGGAGGAGAAGGGGGTCGGCCCCTTGGAGGAGAAGGGGTCGGCCCCTTGGAGGAGAAGGGGGTCGGCCCCTTGGAGGAGAAGGGGGTCGGCCCCTTGGAGGAGAAGGGGTCAGCCCGTTGGAGGAGAAGGGGGTCAGCCGTTGGAGGAGAAGGGGGTCCACCCCTTGGAGGAGAAGGGGGTCTGCCCCTTGGAGGAGAAGGGGTCGGCCCCTTGGAGGAGAAGGGGGTCGGCCCCTTGGTAGAGAAGGGGCCGGCCCCTTGGAGGAGAAGGGGGTCCGCCCGTTGG